GGTTGTTGCTTTAAACAAACCTTTCTTTCCCAGCGATTCCTAATGTGCATTATACCATCAATTGTCCCTCTAAAGGATATACAGAGTAGCGTCAAGAAATTGAAAAAAATATAAATATAATATTTTATGAAATTTCTGATGTTTAAATATCCGTTCAATTACTTAATGAAGCAACGAATTTATGTAAAAAGGAGACCTTGTCAGCCTTCTGTCTTATTTTCCTTAATTTGGGGATAAATATTATACAATTTGAGTCCCATTTAATGTAAGTTATTTTCATTCAAACGCCGTTATAAATAATGCTTAGTCAATTTTTCCGAAAGACATTTACAACCTACAAACAATTTACTTATTTCCATTACCCTATTCCTAGCTGAAAATAAAAACTCAGAAGACTATTTAGTAGAAGAAGAGGTATTTTGTACCTTTGAATCACGGAAATTCATCTTCTATCTATCTGTATATAAAGAAGAATGTCTGTGTGTTTGTGTGTTTGTTAGCGGTTAATTCAGTCAATACTATAGCTATCGTCATCAAACTTTCTACAATTCTTTTCTGAGTCCTGGGAAAGGTCAACGTGCACTTTTTTCCAAAAACAAAAAATAACTAAAATCAGAGATATTAATTAAAAACTCGGAAAAACGCAAATTTTTGCCCTCATTTTTCCGAATGGCAACAGTCTCGTACGCTGGAGAGAAAAATCTGCTTTGTTTCGAGAAGTCTTGCCACTGCTGGCTTTCAAATCGTAGAGTTTGTTAATAAAAATCTTTTAAGTTTTACAATGAAATAAAAATAGCATTGCCAAATATTAAATATATTATTCCCGATTCTAAAACTTCGTAGGAAGCTATTTCGACTATTCCCATCTTCGTACGACTTTAATCAGCCGAGATATTAATTAAAAACTCTGAAAACACTAACTACTCATTTTTCCGAGTGGCAGCAGTCTCGCACGTTGAAGATAAAAATGCTTTATTTCGAAAAGTGTTACTTTTGCTCGCTTTCAAATCGCAATTTCCTAATCAAAAATTTGTAAATTTAAAAAATCTCTCTATATAAAGAACAATGCCTGTTTGCGTTTTTTTTTGTTCACGTTATTGAAAGTGAAAAAAAATTAGACAGAAGTGTATGGAAGATCTATGAATTGCGCATTATCAAAACTGTTCTCTGAAAGTGGTGTACTTGGGCAGAATAAGCTCGGTGAATAAATGTAGGATAATCCTGCTAACTTCGTTATACTAAGGATTATGTCAGGAAAAATGTGCATTCACAGGCATGTAGGACGAATATATTTTGTATGTTAGGAAGGTATGCATAACTTAAGTCATTCTGATGAAAGAAATGTGAATAATACAAAACAAATGTATACTGTATTACGCTTGATCTACTTATTCTCGTTTGTTATCGAAATTATAATTAAAATGTTTTGGGCAAATTTACATAAGATCATTTACAAAATGAAATCCCTAGCACATAAAATATTAATTTTTTCGAATATCACCTGACTGAGAAGTGCTTTACCTCATGGATCACTCACTAACTTTCCATAAAAGCTGGAGTTCCATAGAGCGAGGGGACGGAGCGTGCAATCTCCACAGCTAGAAGTCTTCAGATCATGGAGGTTCTGTAACTACTCAAGGTTGTGGAAAGATATTTAGAGCCCTATTTTCGTTTTTTCAGAACTGCAGTTTACCCTCAGTTTGTAAGGATCTTATGTTTGACTAACGTTTATTTTGTTTTGAAACTTTACTGTCCTCTCTTATTTTCCACTTCGGTCAGAATAAACGCGTTAATCGGTTTATGAAAATTGTTCCTGCTAACGCTTAAGTATTTAAGTTGTGGCTTTTTTCCAAGAACAAAGTTAGATGGAGAGAGAGTGAATCGCCTTGCCACTGTACTTCACGCGAGCTTTCAATCAGCTGCTGTCCGCCTTTAAGGCAAGAGGTTTAATTCTCTTGATATCTAAGACGTATTGTAGTTTTCTGCAGTTTACGTTCTACATACGTAATAATCTGGAAGGCCAACCTTAGTAATAGTCATCTGTGTAAAGTATTCAAAGCTAGCTTTTATTTAAATTTAGTTAGTTAGTAGTTCTTATATTTTTACGTCCAGACCACAAGTGGTTGGTCTTTGTATCCCGAAGTGCGGGAACGCATGTAATGTCGTGGGGAATAAAGGGTAAAGTTAACCCTTCCTGCTTGTGTTGTCCATTCCACACATACTCGATCATAGCTTGAGTAAGCTCCCTGTTCCCATTCAGGATTATTAGATGTTTCCTAAACAGATTAGACGATCAACCAGTCCTGATAAGTTAATTTTACTGATAAGTTAATTTATTTATTTCTCTCTATTTATCTATCCATATCTATTTAAATATATATGTATATATAATTAAATTAAAATCAAAACAAAACAAAATTCAATTATTTTATTTAGTTTGGCTAAGCAGAAAAAGGAATGATTATTATTATTAGTTTTCAAATCTGCAAAAAAGTGAAAACAATCACTGCATCAGTTGACACCAGCGAAAAAACTTCAAAAATAAAATTCTGTGAAAATCCCTTACCCCGAAAAACAATCAAAGCGAGAGTAATTCCAAAACAAACAAACCCAAGCGGGATGAAAAAGATACCAGAACCAAAAAAATCACCTCAAACACGAACCTAACGAAAGAATAATTTAAAATATTAAATAAAAATAAATAAATAAAAGGGATTTTATATTTCTCGGAACATCATCGTAAGGGGGCAGTGTAATGATAAATGTAAAGGAGAAAGCATGTTTCTAAGCTAAAAAATGCACAATTCAGAAAATTAAATAAATTGTAATTGGGAAAAATAAGTTAAATTAAATTATCCATCTATCTGGTCTACCTACCTCATTTCTGACTCTTTTATATAATATACTACATTATATCAACCTATGTCGATGCAAAATTTCACTAACAGTTCTGTTGAATATTGATCAAATGCTAAAAGTTTTTTTTTTTATTTTTGTACACCAGTACATTTTTAAAATTTCAAGATTACGATACCTTCACTCTCATTGCACAGTGTGTATCGCCTTGAAATAACAATAATAATAATGAGTGAATTTTTCTTTGAATTTACCTGAAAACTATTACTGCAACTTACAGAGCTATTCTCGAAAAGAGAAATTAATTCTCAGAACCAGGCTTATAGTTTAAAAACTATTGAAATCTATGGATTTATTGAAATCAAAGCCGAGTATTAAACGTTACATTTGCATTTATTGGCTACGTTTTTAAGAAATAAAACTAGCCATATCAAATGAAAATTATAAGGCAGCAATAACAAGCCATAGCAAAATTTTTTTAGCCGTCCCAATATCTCCGGCTGTGTCAGGGTGCCGTCCTCGGTATATCGGAAGGAAAGAGAAAACCTATTTGCGTTGGCCGCCTTTACAAGGTCCATGTAACACTCTGAGTAGGGCCACCATAGCAATGCTTATGGCCACAAAATTTTCATTGTTTCGTATCACGAAGTAAGGCATTTTACGAAATCAGGCAGGTTTATTTTAAATGTGCTTTTCGAACAAATTGCTGGAACAGTGAGGTCGTGTAATAAAAAAATTATGATAAAAGGAAAAGCATACTCTTCCTGGCCTTCTGCTCTCATGTATTCTCTAACACAAAAGTTTAAGAAATTTTTAAGACGTTTTGAAAGCAAAATAGTAGCAAAATTTTGCTACTACTTCATCATATACGAATACTTGTTCATCATATACGAATTTCTTAAGGCACATTTCCTATGGTGTTGTAAAAGACAATGATCATTATTTTGGATGGTAAGTTTAAATGATGAATTCTTTTGTCTTCCCGGATTCCCACTCATTATTTTATCGTTTTGACTCAGGGTCAAACCTGTTTATCAGTGTCGTATGTTCTGTAACCAAGAAGATAGCAGCAGTCAGGTCCTTGCAGACGTAATGCGGCACATGTCCAGTAGGTTCATTTTATCCCTACACTTAAATAGCAACTTTAAAGCATGAAATTCTAAACTTTGTCAAGAAGTGTTCATCAGAAACTTTTTTTTTCTTTCCAGGTTCTTAATAGCTGGATAAAGCGTTTATCTCTCTCCTCATATAATATTTGTGATTTTTCAAACTGATGACGTAATAGAATGAAATGTACGTTAATTTCCTTTATTGTAAATCATACGAAGGTGGCAATGCTCTTATATTTGGTAGGATAATTCTCAAATTTACAATTTGTTTATTCCCCCCTCCCTCCAGTGGCAGGCATTAGTCGTTACAGGCTTTGGCCAATACTAAGGCCGGAAGCGATGGAAGCATCTAATAGGTGGGCCACCTTTGCCTCCTATGAAGGGACAGATAATTTACATTCATGCCTTCTCTAGGATTCGAACCCGGGCCTTTCGGACAATAAGTATCGCTAACCACTTTCCCGTCTGGACGGCTTATACTTAATATAACTTCAATGATTTATCACTAGTTTGGGTTCTAATAAGAGAGCAAAAAAGTATTTCAAAGGGTATAAAATTGGTTATGAAGACTCCTATTCCATGGTAACGTTACTAACTTATACCTATCATTAAATTCTGTCGTTTAAATTCTGGCTTCTCTCCGCAGTCACAGAGAGCATTTCACATCTATTACCAAGTTTCACGTGAATCATCACCACGTTTCAAACGAACCATAGCGCTAACTCCGAACTTGATTCCCGGCCGCCCAACTCTTCGTCGGCACGAATCATTTATTCTTATTCCCTCTCATTAACGCTAGACGACAAAATAATGCACAAGACCTGTGTTTTTTTACCCGTCATAGCTGCAGATTCTCCATCCCATCGTTATGTTTATTTTGAACCAAAGGTTTGGTTTCCTTCATTTCTCTTCACCAGTTCTCGGGAGAACCCTGCCAATTGTTTTTTTCACCCTTTTTTTCCTACAACCCATCTAGCATCTGACTGTCTCAGACATGAAAAGAACGGAAGAGTAATAAACATTTCATATATTTTTTAGAATTTGGAACAAGGACTGCGGTTGGCATATTGTTTGTGGAACGAGGTATACAAAAAGAAACACGATTGTGGTAACCTTGAACTGCTTGTTTTCTTTTATTCTTTTGTGGGCTTAAAGAAGGGGTAAGAACTACTCAATTTAAATGTTTGTTCTCCTTTTAGATCTAAAGGGTAATTAACAATAGCCTACTTAATTTGTCTTAGTTACACAGAAGAAGAAAAATGGGCTTTTGCAATCTAAATGAAGCTGTGAAATGTACACGTAGTAAATCTGAGTTTACATATAAGGTGCATGTGCGTTCATAATGTATTGCTGTGTTTAGAAGTAGGTAATATATCTTTTTCTTACTTTGAATTTAATTTATATGTTAAATGCAAAGAAAGTTATTTGCGATATTTTTATCGACTTGCATGTTAACTAAACTTCGAATTATGTCATGTTTAGCTGGGGACAGACTTTACTAATAAGAATCTTGCACAGAAATTTTTCTCCGCGAATATGCTCAAATAAACGTCCTTCGAACTCATCTCTGAAATTCTTTAATGCTAACAGATGCAATTTTGAAAGGAAGTGCTGACACGAAATACTATAGCTATATATCCAGCATAATGATTGGAATAAATACTTAAAAGTGTCAGTTTAAAGCTACTTAAAAGAAACTTCTTAAAAACTATTAAAAAAAAAGGGTATTTTACATCTTTTTCCTTAATTTATCAGCTTGGGCATTTCAAACCTAAATACATTGCATTTTTTTTAAATCAGCAATATTCACTTTATTTTTTAAAATCAAAATTAGAAAATCGATTTTTAGAAGATCAGTTCGAACTTAAATATTACTTGGTAGAATGTAAAATTGACTATATTTGTTAGAAAATATTATCATTGAAAATAGAAAAAATCATCTGTGAGAGAAAATAAATGGTAATAAGGAAGAAAAGAGTAAAAAAATAATTTAAAATTAAACGAAATAAATGCGATATGAAGAAAAAAATTTTTTAACAACAGTGTTTCCAAACTTATTACCTTTATTATATATTTATATTTGAAATAACTGGAACCCCCAACAGTTGGCGAGTGGTTAAGATCGCTGAATACTGTTAGTTGGACCGGTTTCGAACACATAGTTATTCATCGTTTTTATTCCTCATGTGTGATGTGATTACGAGACAGTTTACCTTAGAAGATTCCCCACAAAGGCGTACCTCCCTCTTTGCCAAATGCCACGTTTGCTTAGTCATATCCAAATAACTTTTAAATAATCTTGCAATAAGTGGATGAAAGATCTCATTGTATCTATTCCAATGTGGGCGGGGGTTCGAATCCCTCTTCCGACACCGAAAATTCTTACATGCGTACGGGTTCGTAATAGATTGAATGCACGCAGAACCGAAGATAGCTTGATAAAATTTATTTCCTCCAAAGAAACACTTTACAGATCTAGAACTTTCCACAAAAGCACTCCTACAGTTGTTCTCGGTATCACAGAGCACAATTAATAATTACATTTCAAACTACTAAGAACGCTAAACACAACGCAATGCAAAGCGTATCTAACAGGCAAGGCTCTCGCGGAGATCTCTCAATACCCAGAAGTCAGCTCTGAACTAAAACTGAGAACTGATGCTCTCTCCGGGATTAGTTTTCTCCCCACAGCAGAGAAATCTCTAGCACCTTCCATTTCCCAAAATTACTTGAACGAAAATACGGTTAAAGTTACATCAAAGGGCTGAATACGGTTACAGTTACATACAGGAATCCCTTCTCGGCCTTTTGTCTAAGATCAAAGTGTAGCATAGTTATATATAGGGACTAGTTATGATTATTAAATTACAGTTACACAAAGACTGCACCCAAATGGTCTGCAAGTCTAGCGACTTCTGGAGATTTCTCGCCAAATTTGGCGACACAAATTAGTTGCCAAAACCTTCGCAGAGTTAGCGATATTTCGCCGATGTACAGAGAGACAGCCATTTACCTCAATGATAAATAGCCTTGCTCCTGTAATCTTATATTTTTAACAAAGCTTCGTGTCTTCAGACTTTTCATGATACGCTATACACAAGATACTACAATTTCACATATGATTTCACTAAAATTATTTATATATAATAAAAAATTCATAGCACTTGCAATAAGTGGATTAAAGATCTCGTAGTTATGTATTCCAATTACTTGTACTTATTCTGTTGCAGAAGGTAGCTGTTCTAAATTTCTTTAACAAATAAAATTAACTCATAATAATCTTTTTGAATAAACTTCACAAAATTGCTTCCACGAGAAGAATGTGAATCTTTACTACAAATTATAAAATACTTCCTAACCCTAAATATACCTCGAAACGTGTCATTAAAGCTAAAATTAGAACTCTGATTTATTAAGACCGCGACGCTGAATGTTTCGAATAATTCCAACCGCAAGAAGGGATCATAGAAAAGACAGAGAATTGTTTCTGATAAAAATAGAATGAATCGCGTGTTTTATGGTTTTACAAAGTACAGTCCTGACTTTTTCCAGAACACTTTTTTAACGTACATATATACAACTACCATTCCAGTATTTTATGAAGAATAAGTCTTGCACTGGACTTAATTTGTAAGCAAATACAGAGATAATTTTTACCGAAAACTATATAATAATTGCAGTAATTAAACTGTAAAATGCAATAATCACATTTTACAGTTAAATTAGTTTTGAAAGTGTAAGAAAGGGTTTCTACTCTTTAATTTCTTTATTTGCAGTCTGTCCTAAAACACAGCGTGTTCGGTTTAGTTATAATGTTAATAACTAAAGAATTTAGAGGACTCCCCCGATATTCAAAACCTAAAATTTATTGATTTCGGAAAATGTCTTTTTTTAAATTATTACTTTCTATATTTAAGTTTTTTCTCTTAATGAATTTGATAAAGAAAGATTTAATTAATGCATTATAATTATAAAATGAGAACACTGTGTAATTTAAATTATTAAGCCTCCGATTCTCTAACGAATCGAATAAGGGAACGCCTGAAACTCGCTGTGGTATGAATTGCATGGGAATGGGAATGCGAGAATTAATAAGTAGAGAATAAATTCAAAGTTGTAGCTGGATTTTGAGACTTGGCGATAAGTTTAAACGAAGTTAAATAATAAGATGTGGGCACCACATGATTTCCTTGTACGGCCTGTTAAATTATACACATTTTTTCCCTGCGTTTCATTTAAACTCACTTCCTCGAATTTCATTAGAGATATATTTTTCATTCAATTAATTCAGTTTTCGCCAAATTACATAAAAAACTCAAATAATCTTCATTACAAATTGTAAACTACAGAAAAACATAAAACACCAAATGCAGTTAATACAGTTAAATTTTTTTTTCAATTAAAATAGAGTTTCTACGCAAAAACAAGCAATTACGCCAACGTGAAAAAAGACAGACGTCTTGGTGCTCAGAACTGAAAGTTTACATTTTGTCTCACTCGGCAATAAGACACTGAAGGTGCAGAAACTGACTTAATTTGCTATTCTACTAAAGAGTTTCAAATGTAAACAAATGGCGGCTACGTTAGGATTAGTAGAAACAACTTTTAAATTGTTGATAATTATACAACTATTGCATGCAGAATAATTAAAGGCATAAAAAAACTTAAGCAGAACATAATAACAACATAATTAAATTACATTCAAAGCAAAAAATGCGCAACTTACGAATATATAAGAATTAAAAAACTGAGCTCACCGACCCGGGTAAAACAAAAGAGTGGGTATACGTTTATATACTTTGGTGCTCCCGATTGCAACTAAAAAGTGAGTTGCAATACTGAATGTTATAAGAGTCCCATGTACAAAATTTCAACGTTTTGAGGCTATTCTTTTTTGAGTTATGCGAGATACATACATACGTACGTATAGACGTCACAAAAAGTCTCTTCTGAATCCATTCTAAAACCATTTTACAATTATTTTTGTGAAAAAAGTACTTTATTAAATTCATACGTACAGATGACGCGCAAAAAGATCGCTCAAATGGATTTAAGAGCGGTCAAAATGGGTATTTTCATTGAAATATTATACACGAAATTTTTCGCTATTACAATACTTCCTTTACTTTGTACAAGGAAGTAATAATATTAAAGATTAAACAAAGGTGGATCAGTTATTGAATTGTCTTATTTTACAGCATAGCTTTTGCTCAACAATGAACAGTAATATATATCTACTCATGGAATTAATAAAAAACTTCACTGTGCACAACGTTTCGGGTAAAAACATTGTTAAACTTTCTTAAAGATTAATACACATATAATACACATGTACAATACCTTAAACTAAATATAAACTTGAGAATATAAAACTCTCCTTTGCTTTAACTAAAACATAATATTATACATCTGAATCAGGAGTAAACAAAAAATATTCACTTCTCCCAGCAGATAGAGAAATTGTCCATGCTTTCACTTTGTGGGAGAAGGAAAATCCCCTTGATTTTGATCAGCTGAATTACGTCCCCGGCACAAACACATTCACTTTTTCTAATACAATAGGCTCAAACAGATGTAAAGGTTGTATTTTATATCCAACTAATAGTTAATATTTTTGAAACGCTTTCCTAATGTTTTCTTCAATTTTGAAAGAAATGACCATTCCCTCCAGGAAATGAAAATTGGGAAATTGGGAAAAAAGAAGAAATCCCGAAAGTATGATTGGTTATTATTGTTATTTGGTGTCAGTGAGATCTTGCTGCTTATGTTAACAATTCTTGAAATTAGGAGTAAAAATTATGAAGTTGATCGTTTTTAAAGGGCTTTAGTTCTAAATGTTCAGTATTGCTGAAGAAATAAGCTACTCATCCTAAAATATATCGATAAAGAATTAGATGTTAAACCACTACAAATAACTTGTTAAAATATTAAAAATAACATAATTCGACGATGCAGCTCTACCTTGTAATTTTATAAAATTATTAATGCTTTTATTTTCTAAAGATTTCTGAAAATCAGTTCTTCTTGGAACAGAAACATGAAATTTTATATGAATAGATATGCACAGAACATTAATTTGCATATGTATTTGTTCATTTACTTTCATTCAGTTCATTTGTATCTGTATTAAAGATGAATATTAACACGTTCACATAGTGTTTACTTATATTTTTAAAAGCAAAGGCGAAATAAAATACAATTAAAAAGATTTTTATATTATAAGCGTTTATTTAAAATGGATATGATAATAAATGCCCATGGATCCCAAGACAAATTAAAAAAGATAATGGCTTATACATTTGGCAATGCGATTAATTTAATAGATTTAGTTATTTAGTCGTCCCACCTTTTTATTATTCGCGATATAATGAATTCCGTAAATAAAACTTTTTACTTTATTATCCTCATTAAAATATATGATAAATTATTTTTCTCTTTAATAGTTCATTAATTATTTTATCTATTTTAAATAAAAGCTTGATATACAAAACCTTTCTTTTAATTGTATTTTATTTTCTGTTTTTTTAGTCTTAGTTGCACGTTATCAGTGATGGAAGTTTTAGTCATTATCAAAACATAAGCAACAAATCATAAGAAAATAACTGAACGTCATTCAAAAAATGAAGAAATCACTTTGAAGGCTCAGTTTTGGAAACCGTATGTAATAGCAATGTTACTTAATGAACATTTTACTTAAAAGATAAAATTGGAAAACGTATATCATCAATTCATCATTAAGTGCGCCAAGATGGAGCCTCAAATATTATATTTTATATTTTCAGAAATCTTTCAGATTGTTTTCTTAATCTCTATTAATTTTAATTTATTTTCCTAGAGCTACCGAGGAAATGTATAAGGAGCCGTCAGGTTTCCGTGCAGTACAGATTGGGAACTGCTGCTCTAGAGTTGAAGCCAGCTGTATATGACACGACAGATGATACTTGAATTATAGTTACTTATATATCTCAAAATTCGGAAAAGAAACTGTATTCTACAATGACTGGTACAATGGTTGAAGAAAATGCAAAACGCGAAAAACTTGAGTTCAGAAATTTATCTGTGGCAACAAATAAACCGTTAATAGAGGGTGGGTGGTATTATAATCTCCAACTGACGAAAATCACTGATGAATTAATTCCCTGGCGCAAAAATTGATGGGATGTAGCATAATATCTCTAAAACTAACACTTAATAGTCATTGGCACACATATAAGCTGTAAGAGTTGATTATTTTTACAAGCACTATTTCTTTCAGGTAAACAGGAAAATGAAAAATTGTCATTGCAAACAATAAACTGTTAAAAAAGGAATAATGTTTTTAAAATCAAAAAGATCTTGATTGTATTTGCAGAACGTAAATGGGACAGTCATAAGTAATAAAGAAAAGTGATGGTATGCTTTTGTGCTAGAATGTTCTTTTTCTTAGATAATTTTTCTTTTTCTTAGATAATTTTTCTTTTTCTCTGAATTTTTCTTTTTCTCATAATTTTTCTAATTTTCGGATATTGTCTTCCTAAGACCGCCCTTAACTTATTAATTTATTGAATCCGGATTGGATTCCTGGAAAAGAGCTAGCAGCATGAAATTTTTATGTGCCCATCAGAGGACAAGAGGTAAAATTTCTGAATATTGATATTTCGACTCGCAATACCAGTGTCAGCAAACGGGCTGGCTGCATGAGAAGTTTAGTGGATTTTCCTATTTATATCATAAATAGGAATCAATTATCCTTAAAATGTCATCCAGAAGACATGTCTCCTCTTAAGCAGATACCTTTCACGTGCTTTGGCAGATGTCAAATATCTAATGCAATCTAATCGAAATTTTCGATGTATTTGCTTTATATAACGTAAATAAAAACCAGTTGTCTGTAGAATGACTTTTTACGAAGCCATCACGCCTGAGGCAACTCTCGCTTTCTTTGCCATAGTCAATTATTTGACTAACTAAATTATCTACTCGTCCCCACAAAACTGTGATTCATTATATGGTGCAACTGTTCTTTCAACAGCTCTTGATTGATAAATTATGAAATCTCACTTATTATTCGTCTTAGCATTAGGTATAATTCAACATTCTTTATCCTTTTAGAAAATAGATTAGCCTCGAGTTATAATGAACGAAAATCGCATTCCATTGCTGCGATAAGCATTGCCAAGGCGTTAAACCTAACATGGCGGCTATTAAAGATTCTAAAGAGTGAAACGAGACAAAAGAAAAGCAATTAAAAAAAAGGGGGAAACAATAGGTTCCTTGCCTGATAATTTCTTCTGTTGATGATGTGATGGGCTCTTTTCTTTAATTACAGGAAGAAGGCGGGAATTATCCCGACTATGCCAAGGTACTAATTTCTTTCGGCGTAAAAATACATCACAAGCGTTCAAAGCGGTTGCCAAAAACCTACATCGAACAATTAATAAAACTTTCGGACGCATAGTGTGACAGATAAGTTAACGAAATTTTTCGAGAATTAAAAGAGAAAAAAAGAGTAATTCCTTTTTTATCAGATCGCAATATAAAAACAACACCTGGTTGTTTTCCTGGCCACAATGTCCAATTAGTTGATATTTTTATCAAAATGAAATGGTAAGAGTGTTATAAAAAAAAGAATGTTCTTCCAGAGCGAAAAAAATCCTTAAAGGCAAAATTTCGTCTTGTGCCAAAAAGCGGAAATTCCAAGCATCTCTTTATTGCTATTTTCAGCTTCGAAGAAAAAGCGGTTAAAAACGCTGAAGATCATTTTATCCTGTTTTCGGATCGTTCCCATCGTGAATTTAGAAAAAATAAGCACAGCGGTTTTAAATTAATAGCCAACTGTTAATCATTCATTTATATTTCGCTTTAAAAAAAATCTCGTTTAAAAGAGTTAGCAATTCGTCGCATAGAAGCACGTTTCGGAGTTAAATTAGCGTTCTCAAGTACTTCTAAAAGATTTATAGAGACCACCTTTTTGGCACAGTTATAAACAAAAATAATACGAGAAAACTGGCAGTTTAAAATAGCGTAAATTAAAAAATAAATCTTAACTTCGTCACAAAATTTTCACATTCTTATATTTTAAGCGGAATTTTATATTTTAATGACATAGTTTTTTTTAACCTTAATTTTCTATCTATGGATGGTGACGATAACAGTTGTTGGCAAAGGAAGAAGCGATATTTGCTAAGCACGAGGAATGTTATTTAGAGAGTTTTTCTCATATGTCTTTTAACGCATTTTATAAAATTAACGTGTATTTAATTTATTTAATACTTCTTAAAATTTCCTTTCTAACTTGTTTTTCCACTTTCTGTTAAATACAGCAAAATGCTCATAATAAATCTTTTTGCAGTTCGCCATTCCTGAATTAATGGTTGTCTCATGCTTCTCATATAACGCTGGTATTGCACGCACTTACATAAAGCCAAAAGTGAAAATAAAATATATTGTCCAATAGTATTCAAATCAAAATTTCTAATAATCTATAAAACTATAGCTGTGTTGTTGTGGTTTATCTCACTTGTCTGACCGTAACATCAGAACAAATTCATCGTGGTGTAGAGTTCCTCACTTTGTAAATGCTAATTTGCAGTTGAACGTGAAGAATCTTAATCACTAGTAATCGCTTGAGTTCGTGTAGATGAAGCAACAAGCAAAAAGGGTAAGATAAACCTTTATTATTCAGATAAAAGTTAACAGAACTCCGTCTTAGAGTTTTACAATAAAACCGAACACTCGGGCTTTGAACTTAAGAATATTAAGAACTAAACTAAACTTAACTAAAGAGATATAGCCGAAGCTATCCAAGTTTTAATGCAGTGAGCCGCTTAAAGACGAGATGACTGCGAAGCTATCAAGGGCCTGAGTACAACCGAGCGTAATAACAGCTTTGCGAGAGAGTAGCCAAAAAGGCAGACGCGCGCTAATCAGACTTTCTGAATTTCTCTAACTCAGCAAGTAGAACTTCGCGATTAAATACAGCTCTTCCTCATTATATATTCAGACGTGATTCCAAAACTACGTTCTAGCCGGAAGTAGTAAGTTGAAGTTAAGAATTTGACAGGTAAGGAACTTAAAATTTAACTGTTAATAAAATTAACATAATCCTTACAATGGTAAGGAGAGCAAGATTGCGTTGGCAAGAACTTGAGCACCATACAGGTGACAAGGCGACTTTGCTCAATTCCGACCCCAATTTTAAACTAAGGAACCTCCACCCACCTCACAAAAGGAATTTGAGCTTGCTGCATAAAGTGCCCCCATGCCGCACAGACACTATACATTTACAAACATTTATGCCTTCTCGTGGATTTGAACCCGGGTTCTTCTGTACAGCAGTCAGCTTCGCTATCCATTATCCCGTTTGGGTGGCACAAAAAGCTATGTTATGTTCCTCTACTGAGAAATGAACCTTCACCGTTTCTTAATCTATAGCGGTAACATAATCTGACTGCTCTAATGCATGCTTTCATCTAATATAGCCTAGATCAGGCCTTAGCAACCTATGACCCATTTCATAATTTCAAGTGATTCATTTGAATTCCGAAAATACAATGCATTATGCAAAAACAGCATAAATATGAAACTAGCACTTGAATAATACATTGAAAATAAACCAAAAATAAATAATAAAAATGACATTTTTATTTAGTTATAAACAGTAGCAAACATACATTTTTATTTTTTAAAAATATCCATAATCCAAATTAACCGACAATAATAAAGCTGTATTATGTCCCTAGACTGAAAATTGAAACAATTCAATTGCTTCTTAATCTCTCGCGGCAATGGCATGGCAAAGCCAAATAAAATAACAAAGCCAATTTTATGAAATTATGGATAGAATGTCCATAATCCATAATAAAAAATTGGTTTTGCCATTTTGCCTTTATTCGGTTAAACTTAATGAGAGCAATTATTTTCACACGTAAAATTTATTTTAAGTAAGAACAGAAGCAGCTTAACTAACGAAAATTCAGATGCTTGCATTCGTCTTAAGATGATTAACTATACGCCATACTTCACTAAACTGACGTCACAAGTTTAGCATTAGGCGAGCCATTGATGTTGAAGAGAAACATAAAGTTCATTTAGTTATGTTTGTTTTTATAATAATTAGAATTATATTTTTTACTTTTATGTTTAAAGCGTATTGTAATGATTTTCGCAATAAAATGTATCTTATTATGCGCCAAGAATGACTGTTCTAAAATGAAAATACACTGATCCGAAGCGTCTTCTTAATACACACGTTTTGGTTGGTTTTGACCCGCAGCCGAAAAAGGTTGCAGAAGCCTAGTTCAGAACATCACTTCTTCCCTTTGCCTAACTACAGATGTTGCCCACTTTATGAAATTTTGCAGCAACGAACACATTTATTCTCAAAGAGCGAAATTTCTTCGAAGTCGAAAAAAAAAATTAAGACGAGCAAGATGCCATGCAGTGCTGTCGTCTTATTTACACCGAAAGAAAAAGAAAAATCATGTCTTTCATTGCTTCACTGCTTCACTCAGCTTTTCATTCGATTTATTATTCTATGAATTATGCCTTGAGGAAAATAATTTGAATATGATACTATCAGGTTCAGTGTTCCTCCTTACTTGCTTGGGGAACATTAAATGACCTGACTCGGAACAGGGAGCTTACTAAAGTTATGTTCAATAAATGTGGGAAGTAGACAAGATACACAGGAAGGGTATACGAAACCCTTTATTTTTCTCTCTTTACAATGATTTCCGGACTTCAGAATACAGAAACCAACCACTTGTGGTCTGAACGTAAGAATATAAAAATATTAACTAAATTCTAACTAAACTAACTTTGGATTAATAAACAAGTGTCGACTTGAAGATTGGCCGTATATTAACAGAAAGGCCGTATGTAGTACAGAGAACTGTTAACACTACGATACGTTTAAAATTATCAAGAGGATTAAACCTCTGGCCTTGAAGACAACCAGCAACCGAGTAAAACTGCAATGGCAAGCGGCCCGCTCCTAATCACTCCTTCCTCTCTCTTGCTTGGCGAAAAGCCACAACTTAAGTAGTTGGCATTCGCAAGACAAATTTGCATAAATAAGTTAAAGCTTTTAATTCTGGCCGGAAGTAGAAAATAAGAAGTGATAGTAAAGATTTAAAATAAAATAAACGTTAGTAAAACTTAAGATCCTTACAATACATGTTAAGAAAGATGAGATTTGAAAGCTAAGAATTTACAGAGAAGATGTAGAATACAAGATCTTCTAAACGAGATTTAAGGATTTTAAGAAATAAAATTGTAAATTTTATGTTGTATATTTGTAGTATGTGTGTATTTATAAAATAAAAAGTATGCGAATCCAAATTCTAACTTTTTTAATAGTTCTTTTATCTTGTTTTTAATTTGCGTATTTCCTTTTCCATCCTTTACAT